TATGATGCTGCTTGGCCTGCTGTGTTCATCCAGCCCTGCACCTTGTTGTCTCATATATCCTTTGCAGTTTAGCAGAGTGAGAGGCATCTTTATGGAAACACATAAGATCCTAAGGGGACTTCACCAGATGGATGTCAAAAGGATATTTCCTCTTACGGGAGTATCTGGAACTAGGGGTCACTGTTCAAAAATGAGGGGTCGTCCATTTAAAACAGAGATGAGGAATTTATTTTCTCTCAGAGGGTTGTGAGTGTTTGGAATTCCTTTCTTCAAAGGGCAGTGGATACTGAATCTTTAAGTATTTTTAAGGCAGAAGTAGATGGATTCTTGGTTACCAAGTGGGTGTAAGATTAACAGAGCATGCAGGAATGTAGGGTTGATGTTAAAATCAAATCAGCCATGATCTTATTGAATGGCAGAGCAGGCTGTAAGGGCCAAGTGGCCTACCCTTGTTTGTTATTCATTGTTCATGTGCATTTCCTGTAGGAAGAAAGAGACTCAACCAGCAACTGTTAGGAAATGTCAATACAGGTTAAGAGGAATGTTAAGAAGCTTTGAAAAGTAGCTGAAGCTGGGCAAAATAATGAGCCATTCTTTCAGTGCTTCAGCAGAAAGTAGCCAGTCAGAAAGCAGGCAAAATCCTCAAAAACACGCCAGCGTGACATGGAGTACAAGCTCCAGGATAAATTATAATTTTTCCCCAATACTTGTAAGGATAGAGGTTACAGATTGTGCTTCTCAATTTGAAATGGTTGACCTCATAACTTTGGTAGAATTAAAGTGCTTGAGATAAGATCATCCCAGAGTACTGAAGGGACATGTGAGATTTGCAAGGACAGCGTTGGTGAACTCTGGGAGGCACAAAATGGCACTCATTTCAAAAACTGTTCCAAATTCAACATTGGCAAGTACAGAACTAACAGATATAACACAGTGTGGGGCTGGAGGAGCACAGCAGGCCAGGCAGCATCAGAGGAACAGGAAAGCTGACGTTTCGGGTCCAGACCCTTCTTCAGAAATGGGGGAAGGGTAGGGGCCTCTGAAATAAACAGAGAGAGGAGGGTTGGGGCTGGGGAAGGTAGGTGGGGTGGTGATAGTGAGTGCAGGTAGGCAATGGTGGGGGTTGGTCAATGAGGTGGGAGGAGCGGATAGGTGGGAGAGAAGATGGACAGGTCAAGGAGGTGGGGATGAGACGGAGGGTGGGTCTTGGGATGAGGCTGGGGGTGGGGAGATTTTGAAACTAGTAAAGTCCACATTGAGACCATTAGGTTGTAGGCTCCCAAGGTGGAATATGAGGTGCTGTTCCTCCAGTTTCCAGGTGGCGTTGTTGTGACTCTGGAGGAAGCCCAGGATGGACATGTCGTCCAGGGAGTGGGAGGGGGAGTTGAAGTGGTTCGCGACAGGAAGGTGTTGTCGTTTGTCGTGAACCGAGCGTAGGTGCTATACAAAGCGGTCACCAAGCCTCCTAGCTTTACCTGCTTCAAAATCTCCCCACCCCCAACCTCATCCCATGACCAACCCTCCTTCTCATCCCCACCTCTTTGACCTGCCTGTCTTCTCTCCCACCTATCTGCTCCTCCCACCTCACTGACCAACCCCTACCACTGCCTACCTGGACTCACTATCACTACCCCACCTACCTTCCCCAGCCCCACCCCTCCTCTCTATTTATTTCAGAGCCCCCTAACCCTCCCCCATTTCTGAAGAAGGGTCTCGACCTGAAACTTCAACT